AATATTTTAGTTATATTGTACTAACTTTACTTTATATCTTCAACTTCAAATTTAAAAGCATGTAAAGTTCAATATCAAATATCAAAATTCAGATATTGCAAAGATAACTGAATTCATTCACAAACTCAGATTATTAAAACAGTTTATTTATAAACCAATTAACAAGTGTATTTCCTATTCCTTAGCTTCGATTTGCTTATCTAGATATCTCCATTCCTATCCGTCCCTTGTAAGAGCAAGTCTATGTATAATTCACACGAACAGGACAGTTGCATTGCATAGTCTCCCTATTAATTAGGGTCATGCACCGCGGACATAGATCAGCCCCGGTGTCGAGTAGCCGTTTGTGGCCTGAACGCACCTATGCCTATTCTCGCCCTCGTTGGATTTACATCGAGATAGAGAAACATTAACATATTTTTACGAAAGTCAATTATTTAATATATTCTCTGTCACGTGTAGGGGAAAAAGGAATAACGATGGCTATTCTCCACTATTATTATTGCAAAATGAAACACTTCGATCGTGTAATTGTTAGCTGGACGCGAGTACAACGTAGGCTTTCTTTGGATAGCGACTCGTATGCGAACCTGAAAGCTTTTACTGACATATTTGAAAATTTGATAGTCTTCAAATTCCCAAATATATAAATCCCCCAATTTTTCGATTTCTAAATATCCAAATTTCTAAATTTTGCATCATCCTAGATTTCCAAATATCTATGTTGTGAAATTTGTAGCTCTCCAAATCTTCAGATTTAAAAATTTTTAGGATAAAGACTATGTGATCTAAACATTCCTCAATCAAAAGTCCCTAGTTTCTGAAAGTCCTAAATTTCTAAATTTCTAGATACTCAAATTTTTTTATCTTTAAATTACTAAATTTCTGTAATCCTAGAACCCCAAATTCTAAGACTTTGAAATTTCTAAGTCCCTAAACTATTAAATCCCAAAGTTCTTCAATTTCCTAAGTTTACAAATTTCTACATGCCCTTGTAGATCTCCGACTCACTACATTCCCGTAATTTTAGAGTTTCAAATCTTTACGTTCTCAAATTTCTAAATATCTAAGTTATGACTATCAAACCCCTAGAGTTTAGCAATAGACTCGTGTCTCTAAATTTTTACGTTCTCAAATTTTTAACCCATTTGCAAATTTATAAAACTCTAAAAATGTGTATAAATCAACTACCATATTTGTGGTGGTTGTCATATTTGTTGTAAGAGTCGTAGATTTGGCCTAGACTGTATATCTTTAAGTAAATCATTATTAAGGATTGAAAAATAACACGTACTTATATGTCACTGACATTATAATTTGCGTGCATAATTTCCAATTGCTTTGAGACACAGTATGATTAATGCTAAACTGACTGTATGCATGTTGGCATAATTAAAACATGTAATCCATATACGTTGATTACGATCATAAAATTGATCATAAATTATTATATATCTGACTCGTGAGCACTATTCATGATTAATCATTAAGTTTTGAATTGATATTACATTACATCTTTCTTACATTCTATCTCATGCTGTTATAACTTGTCCGCAATTCCTGTATATTTTTTATTATAAAATAAAGTTAATTATTTTTTACACTACGCGTTTTAAAACTTCGACAGTTACATTATTGATAAATAAATTCTCAAATACCAGAGAGCAAAAATTAGATGTGTCGCGTGTATATTAAAGTTTATAGCGTATTACGTTTTTAATGAGCGGCTTGAAAATAATACTCAAAAACGACTTGTCAGGGAACATGCTAAGTAGCGATGCACGGTCAATGGATCGATCGCCCGATTATTATCATTGGCCACGAATTGTAACATGAAAGCCAGTAAATAGAGCGTGTCTCTGCACGATGGCAGGCGTACCAGTTCTAGGAAACTGTGTCCTACGTAAATACAGGGTCCCCGCGTCCGTTCTCCGTTCTCTCCGCTTTTTATGTGTTTAATTAAAAAGTAGTCGTAGCAGATCAAGTGACCCACGTATATATCGTACGACTGCGAATTTAGAGATTAATGGCTGTGACGAAAGCCGATGACAGGAAAGAGCTTAATGCGTGCACACGGTCGAAGGAAAAAGGGAAGAATGATGTCAATCTGACGACGAACTAACGACGCGATCATCGACTGTACCGTAATCAGGGTTCTCTGATGCTGCGAAACAGAGATATGGAGAAAAATTTTTGCTAGTGAACTTGTCCGCAAAGTGTAGTTTACATGTACAGAGTATATAATACGATATATTAGCGCTAATATATCGACGTACTATTGGAAGGTTAGTAGTTGAGTTATTTTATTATTTTGACATCTCATTCTTCTCCATCTAGAGTTAAACTACAGAGATAAATTAAGTAATTGAGTAAATAGACTAATTATTGAGCATAAATCATTCAATGATGTTACGGAAAGAAATGTAAACTATGAATATAAAAATTATTAACTGTTTCTAGATAAATTTTGTTGTAAATATTGAGGTGTCAATCTGAAATATATATAAATTGATTAAGTCGGTTATTTATTAGTAAATTTGCCATACTAGCTTTAATAGAGATAATTAATTTATTATACCAATAAAAATAATTCTGAGAATGTGCATAAACAGTATAGCAACTATTGCATAAGCAAAATAAGATTGTAGAATAAAAAATCAAATCTTGTCGATAGAATTGTTTAAAACTGAACTACCAGTAAAGTATAAACTGATCTTTCATTGTTCAGTTATGAAAATAGCTTCTTAATAGACAAAATAATCTTCGCGTCTTGTCAACCAAAGCAAATGAAACTATTCTCCTTCATAGTTAGCTGAAAGGTTTCAGTAATGAATTTCTAGATGTTTTCTATAATTAATATGTCATACATATTTCATAGAAAAATTTCGAGCGCTCGTTGACCGACTGACGCGTAACCAAGTGATTAGTCTAGGTAATTACGTTAATATCCCGTAAAATCGATTCGTCTCTTGGCGGTTGTTTCCGATTCAAAAGATTGTATGCACAGCTAAAAATCGTGGCAACGTTAGGAGGGTTGTTGAATCGTGGGTGTTCCAAGGGTAGTTGAAAATGCATTACCGCGGCTGCGGCATATGGCACGATGCACGCCATGACTCGTCAACGGGGCAGCATGATAATTACGCATCGCACGCCATACGTAATGGCGCGACTCTTACCGGCACATCAAGAAATTAATAATTAGCGTGAGGTGGAGCAGACCAAGAGTTGCGTCACAGTGCACTTAATTAAAATAGAACGGGGCGCGAAGAACGCGGCAATGAATCTCCGTTCCTTCGTGTACAGTTCGTTTAGGACGATTTAAACGAAATTCGGCATGATTAACGAGATTTAACAACGATCAACATCGTTTATACAGGCCTGATGAATGGTTTTGTTGATACTAAGTGCATAATCGTGAAAATAGCGTGGTTGAAGTACATATACCGAATGATGGCATCCTACGAGTACTTAGGTACATATGTATTAGAGAAGTTATCAACCTTGAGACGTTTAAAAGTTAAAACTTCAAAAGGTAACAAAATTTTTAGCTCGAAAGCTGAAAGTTAAAAGATAGTCATTGTTGGATTTTATACTGAACGAAAAATTTTTACCTGACTTAACCCTACATATATAATTTATTTGTTTATTTATGTAACGTAGATGAACAATCGGAATCCATTACAGTATACAAGTATTAGTACGAAATTTTCGTTAGGGATATATATAGTTAATTTCTAGTAGTTCTCTGTATTGTTTCAAAAATTATCTACTGAATATTTATTCGAAACGTGAAAAAGTTTCTAAAAATGAGTACAAATATAAAAAAGTGATAGTGTTTGAATTTTTCTTTGCATTATACTTCATCTTTATCTTCTTCAGATTTTGATCCTCGTACGTAATAATTCTTCAGAAACTTAATTGGTAAATCAATTGAAATTCGGAATTCAAAAATTCCAAGTATTACAAAATCGTCGTTAGATGTAAACAGCGATAAATAGCACGTTCTTCAACTTTCAATCTAAATGTAGTGTTACAAGTATTTTCGATTTGATTTTAATGTTATTGGCTATAGAATAGTCAAAATTATTTGAACGCCAAGAGAGTTTGCTTTAATTTAAATGTTATTATTAGGGTGTACCTCAATTTAATGTTCTTGGTAATCAATGGAATCGAATATTCCAGTTTGGAATTCACAGCCCCATTTTCGTCAATATGGTCTGCATAACATCCAGGTGGCTGTCTCATTTGATACGTGCCGTATATGCATGCGTATGGACAAGCAAACATCTTCATCGCTTATGTAGCAACAATCTGATGGTAATTCGGATATGCTCTGTTTCAAACTTCAATTGATTTATCAGTAGTATTTTTAAAGAATTAGAACAAAATTAAGTGTTAAAATTATATTCATTTTTATCAACTTTTTATCATATTTAAGATAAATACTATCGCATATTTTAAACTAATAACACGTTTTATTTTTAAATACGCTTTAAAAATTTGTCATTCTAAGAAACTCAAAAATGACTATATTTTAAGATGCTCCTTTTACTCAACGAAAATTTTAGAGTTTCGTAGACAGTACTTCAAAAGAAGTGTTATGTTATTAGAAAATGCGAGTGTCTAATATTTCTGTGTGCGTAGAAAAAATTTTCAAAATTATATTGTAATTTGTTATTGATATGTGCAACCTCGAAACTTGTAAAGTCATACTTTTTTTGTAAATCATTTCAGCAAATATACATAAATATTTTAGCATCTATGTACTAAGAATCGTATAGTTTTAATTAAAATATGACTATCTTAAGTAGGTTACACAATAAAATACTACATGATTATCCAGGTATGATTATTCATATGCGCTATTAATACACGTTCAATACCAGAACCTTTAATTTACATGTTTTTGTCAATTGTAATTTATCAATTTGTGTAATTTACAAGTTACACAACGCTTAAGAAAATATATATTTATAGCGAAATATCTGCTTGCTTTCCAGGAATCCGAGGGCCAAAAAACGAATAATGGAATTCAATACAGCCTGCATCTACTCTACTCTAATGGTAAGTGAAATAAATTACTGTTTATTAGCATACAAATTGATTATTCTTGAAATAAAAATGAACAGACGCTTATGAAAGAGTACCAATGAACATGTAGTACTTTTGATTAATAGAAAAAAATGAATTAATCGAATAAATAAATAAAATTAATGCATAATTTCAGGATTCTAAAGTTGTATAATTTTTTTAAATACTGTGTTAAAATGTTCAGATGTGTTATAGACTTCACATTTTTATACCACGCCTGAAATAAATTAATATTTACAAATTATAATTAATTTAGAAGAAACATAGTAAGTTTCATTCGGCAAAATTTTCGTATAGGACGACTAAAATTGTATGCGAAATTGACTATAAGCATAAAATCAAGTTATACACTACATAAGAGTATATATAAAATTATGTAAATAATTTATGTTTAAATATCAACCAAAATTATAAAATTAGTTTGAATTAAATTATAATTTATAATTCAATTTATGTTATAATTTAATTAACGTTGTACCATTTTTTAGACGGTAATCTTGTTGTAAATTTATTAAATAGTAGTGAATTCAAGTTAATTTTATTTCTTATTAATTATGCTTAAATACTGAAATTAAGAATTGTGTTTTTTTTTACGTTTTCACGCGATAACATGATACTGATAAGTCATTAAACGTCATCGACAAAGATTCATGCAAAAGGATGTTGTGTAGCAGTAAAAGTCTTTAAAACTGATACATGTTTCAAGTTGCGAATGAAAAGTTTCATGTACCAAAATTAATTCATTGATTAAGTTGATTAAATCAATTTATTATAAATAAAATATTTTCATTCCACAAAATAATACAATCTTGATTTTGTTTTTTTATATGATAGAAATAATTAAATTAATACATACTTAATAGCAGTAATAATTAATGACTAGGACATGTCAATAGTTTTTAGTTACTGAGTCTTTGAGCACTTTCAGATTTTAACTAATTTATAATTTTTCCTTACACAAAATTCTTAGTATTTTATCTTAAAGTAGATATACAGGGTGTTCAGCGATTTACTAGCCAGCGTTTTTCTCGTAAATGACTGGTACTAGAAAAAAATGAAAGAGGAAAAAGCGATAGTGTTTTTTATAATCAACATAATGAAGTATGTATTTTTTTCGTGTTTATACTATTTTTTAAGATATGAAGGTAACCTTTAGTTTTTTTAATGGAATGGTATATATTTTTTTATATCATATGAAAGAGCGTATCGAAACGAATTCAACGATGTATTATATCATGACCTTGAAATCCATTTTGAGTCAAAAGCAAACGAAATATTTCAAATATTTCGTATTACTATACTTGCCGGTATTTCTTACTGATATCTTTACATTTCGTGTTCAATGTGGTTTCCATTAGCTAGAAAGCACTTTTGGTGGTTTTATGTTATGATTAGGTCATGATAATAGTGTTATGGTAATGGAAACGACATTAAACGCGAAATGTAAACATATCAATAAGAAATACCGGTAAGTACAGTAAGACGAAATATGTGAAATATTTCGTTTGTTTTTGACTCTCAATGGGTCTCAAGGTCATGATATGGTACATCGTTGACTTCTTTTTGATACGCCCTTTCATATGATATAAAAAAATATATACCATTCCATTTAAAAAACTGAAGGTTAGCTTCACTTCTCAAAAAATAGTATAAACACGAAAAATTTATATACTTCGTTATGTTGATTGTAAAAAACACTATCACTTTTTCCTCTTTCATTTTTTTCTCGTACCAGTCGTTTACGAAAAAAACGCAGGCTAGTAAATCTTTCAACACTCTGTATACACAAGTCGTTCCTTTTTTAGTTATCAGTGCCGTTGAACCGTCTCTTCGTTTAACGATCGCCTTATCCTCAACAAATCCATATTTCGTTATCTGCGAGAGTGGAACTAAATTATTTCTAAGCGCTGGAATGTAGAGTACGTCTGTTAATTTTATTCGATTCGTTCTAGTATTGCTCCATTTCACATTTAGTTTTATTTCTTCGACACCGCATGACTTCGTCCACTCATTACATGCCGTGTTTACTTTTGTTTTTGCATCTTCGTTAAACACAGTGAACTTATGTCTGTCATTTATCATGCGTTTCGTTGCTGTGCTGTCTAAGTACCACATGTTTTGATTTCAACACTTCAGCGTTATAAGCTATTGCTGTCATTGCGTCTTCGTTTCCTTTTGCTTCACGTTTCTTTCTCCGCTAACAATCGGCTCCTCGGTGTCCCACCTTTCCACACTCGTAGCATTTTCCATTGAATTTCGGCTGTTGCTTCAATGGAATGTTTTTGACTTTATTCGTACGAAAATTTACTTGCTTCGTCGTCCTAGTATGTATATAATGCCTCATCGTTGACGTCACTCTTCTTTTCCATTTCTCCTTTTTCATTTCGTTCGTTTTGTTGAGCTTCTTCCTCGAGCATTTTATTCTTTAAATTGCTCATACTACGAATTTCGCCGCACNNATACGCTCTTTCATATGATATAAAAAAATATATACCATTCCATTAAAAAAACTAAAGGTTATCTTCATATCTTAAAAAATAGTATAAACACGAAAAAAATACATACTTCATTATGTTGATTATAAAAAACACTATCACTTCTTCCTCTTTCATTTTTTTCTAGTGCCAGTCATTTACGAGAAAAACGCTGGCTAGTAAATCGCTGAACACCCTGTATATCCTTTCGAATAAACATATTTAGTTATAATTTTGATACTGTCTAAATACAAAAAATTACAATTATCTTAACCGATTCCTTAATCGTTTGACCATTGGGCCTTTTATCGTATTTGCGAGAATGTCGTGTTCAAAGTGAATCAATTTGTAAACATATGATGTTCAAAGTTTCGGCCATTTGATAGTCCTATCCGAAGTGACGATGACGGGCCATCAACATTCCGCACAGACACCCAGTCTCTCAGGGCCACTAGAAATCTCAGGAACTTTCGAGGCCCGAACGCAACAGAGACATATTTTATGTCACTGGTTCGGGCTGGGTCCCGACAAAAAGACTCCAGCTTCCGTCCTGAAGAAGCATCGAAACGTCTGTGCGTGAGCGTTAGGGAAGGAAAGGAGAAACGTGGAGAAAAGAGGGTAGAAGAAGTCGATGATCCGAAGGTGGTCCGAGCAACAGAGAACTCCTCAAAAACATGCTCGTATTATGAACATATTAAAAAGTCGCAAGGCGCTATCTTTTGGCTCTCCAGTTCCATCGGTTTTTCACTCTTCGTACGTCAGAAACAACGCCAACCTCCCGTGATGCTTTCTTTATCTTCATTTCTTGTTGGTTCTCGTACCTCTTTCTCTCACCCGTTATCTTTCCCTTTCTCTTTACCGTCGTTTCATGCGACAGAACCTTCTTGCCTCCGCTGTTGCCAGCCGATCAATCAATGTGAGATTTTTGCGTTGGCAGAACTGACTGGAGGGGCCGAACTGCCATCTATGGACGCTAAACCATGTTGCCAACATCGTCCAACAAGAAACAACTAACTGTTGCAAACTATGGGATACCTATGGGTGGGTACTAGAAATGGGATCCAAGTACTTACGTACATTGCAAGAAGGTTAAAATCTGACTGTTAGTTAGCTTCGAACACTATATCGAGTATCTTGAGAAAAGAAAAACGCTATTAGTAAGTAGCAGTATTTATTTGAACTTAAACGAGATAGAGATGATCCTTTTATGAGTATTTTCAACAACAGGACAGGCACGTTGGTCTCTCGCTTTATGCGTTACACTTTTTACACGTGCACCACACATACAGGTTTATACACGTGTCTCCATTTACGTCGCAAAAAATGTCTACGTTCATGCGGTACTTTTTTATGCGGTTTCAGTTTTACGCGACCAAGTACGATACGAAACAAATGGGTTCCTTTAACATCACATATTTGACGTTTCCGGATATAAACCAGATCATCATACCCATAGGAGTAAGCGAATTCCATTTTCACGATTGACAATTGCACGAAAAGACACTACGTGAATTTGAGATTTCGCATGAACGAAAGGAGCAGCATACTTTCAAAATGCTTCAAATATTTTTCACAAGCACATTTTTCGTATGTATAACAGCGTGTATATATACTTTGTCAAAATACATATATATACACGTTCAACCAGCTACAGTCGAATGTTTTATCAGTATTGCCCTATTCTTCTATCTTTTTCAATATATGGTTCACTAAAATCTACTTAGGTTTTCGAAGCAATGCATGTTCGAGTGCATACTAAATTATATTCTTTTTCTTTTAAGTCCTGATAATGTTAGACAACTATTGATCAATTAGTGGAATCAACCAAACTCGTTTATGTAAATAAAATCTTAATCAAGTTGAAATGATTCTCAATTGTTCGAAATCTTCAGAATCTGTACATTTCGGGTTCTTACAGTTAGTTTAATGATGTGTTTGGAAACTTCTTCATCAATGACATTCGCAATATTGCCTGTGAACAGCGAGCTCTTTCCAAGCGCTATCATGCAATTTCGTCTTATTCAGTATATTAGAGAACACGATTTTTCGACGTACAGTGGGACATATTTGTATGTTGGAATTCAAGGTAGAAGGTTTGTCCATCGGCTTATGTGTCAGTTAGGTTGCATACTGGCTCTTCTATTTGCAATTGCGGCTTACACAATGGGAATTTATGAAATAATAAACTTGAAATATTAAATTGCAGTTTCTAGAGTTTAACAATAAAAATCATATTGATTTGGAATCTACATGCATATAAAGTTGATCAATATTAAAAGTTCGTCTCATTTTTAGCTGATTCATAGTAACATTAAATAAAATGTATAATTAAATAAAAATTATACACATTGAATACGATAATAATACTACCACTTGAATTTTGCAATGTTTACATAAAGAATGCGTTATTGCAATTCTACAGAGAATTTTTATGTAATAGCACGAGGAGCTTTGAATGTATCTGGGAAATTCACAATTACTGTTATTAGTATTACAATA